GGTCTGGACAAGTAACCATACATCATGTGGGGCCACTTATTCCTTCATCACTTATTGGCTTCCTTCAGTTGTTGTTATGAGTAAATTTATCCTTGGAATTAGATGCCTGTCCGGAGAGTTTCCCTAATAATAAAAAGGATATGCCAGTGGACGAGCTATATGAGACGTTTGTGTTGGTGGGAGAGAAGAAATGTAATGCACAGTTGTTGTTACTAGCATTGCTGAGACGTGTCAAGGCCAGGTCCTCCTTTGCTACAGCCCAGAAGACCGGGACTCCAGCCACTGCATGAAGGGTGCAGTTTGGTGTAGTGGTTAAGTGCGCGGACTCTAATCTGGGAGAACCGGGTTTGATTCCCCACTCCTCCACTTGCACCTGGCTGGATGACCTTGGGCAAGCCGTAGTTCTGACAAGAGCTGTTCTTGAAAAAGAGCAGTTTCTGTCAAGAGCTCTCTCAGCCCCACCTACCTCACAGGGAGTCTGTTGTGGGGAGGGGAAGGGAAAGGGGGTTGTAAGCCGCTCTGAGACTCCTTTGGGTAGTGAAGAGCGGGGTATAAATCCAATCTATTATTATTATTACTATTATTATTCAGACTCCTCTGATTGGGACACTAGTAGAAATTGCAATTACTTTTTCTTCAGCTCTGAGGCTCCAACAATCCTTGTTGCAGAAGGCTTCTTGGGTATCATTTTGAGTTATAGCCAAGGGCCCTTATGGAGCTTTTCCAACTGGGATGGATGTCTAGAGTTGCAGCCAGAAACAATTATGAGCTGTGCTCCTTTAAAAAGCAAATTCTGCACCACAGGACAAAACATTTGCTAGACTATACCACTTCAGAGTGCTGTTGGATGGGCATCACATGATTCAGTACTCTCACACACTTTTTAAAAAAGCCCTCCGCAAATAGAAAAATCAAGTGCCAAAGGGAAGGATTCTAGCTATCTCCTGACATACCTGCAGCTGCTACAGCCCAGAAACTGTTTTACCATGTGGAGGGGCCGTGCCTCAGTGGAAGAGCCTCTGATTTGCATGCAGAATATCCTAGGTACAATCTAGGGTTGCCAAACCACCACCACCTCCCAGTTTGGCAGGGATCCCCCGCTTTTGGGGGGCTTCTACCTGCCGCCGGCCAGCTGGCCACCATGGGAAGCCCCGCCCCCAAGCCCCAACACTCGCAGGGGTGTGCGGGGGGGGATGCCAGTTTCTTTAAGTGCAGGAAGCCTGCATTTCTCACGCACCCGATCTCCGTTGGGTGCGCGGGGGGGAGTCAGCTCTCTGCACTTAAAGGGGCCCCCTTAAATGCAGGGAGCCGGCGTTTCCTGCGCACCCAATCTCTGTGGAGATTGGGTGTGTGGGGGGGAACGCCAGCTCTCTGCACTTAAAGGGGCCCCTTTAAATGCCAGGGAGCTGGCGCCGCTGGAAGATCAGGCGGGCGGGGGTGGACGTCCCCACCGTGACATCACGTCGAGGATGCCCCGCCCCCTCCAGGAACGCCCCCCCCCCAAAGTCCCCCGCTGGGGGGGAAGATAGGACTTGGCAACCCTATTCCAATCCCTGGCATCTTCAGTTGAAAGGACCAGACAATAGTTGATGTGAAAGACCTCTAGGTGAGACCCCAGAGGGCTGCCACCAGTCAAAACAGACAATACTGATCTTGATAGACTAGTGGCCTGCTTCAGTATAAGGCAAATTCATGTGTATTCCCAAGCTGTTTGGTGAGCCCTGAATTATTAGAGGACAGCTAAAAAATGATAGATATTAAAAGAAGGTTGTTGAATAACCATCTCAACATCAAGAATGCACAATTTCGGCAGGCTTTAGTAGGTAGCCCAAGTTCATGCCCATTACCTAGTCTGTTCAAGGCCAGCAGATGCCAGCACATCAAACTGATTTCCCAAAGATGGGGTGTTCCTTTAAGAAAATATGTGCATCTGTAGTTGAAAGAGTCACAGCTGTACTGGAGCCAATAGACGGAGGTGCTAGTGTGCACTTGTTCTGCCTCCTGCTTCCTTGCAAGTTAGCACTAAAAACCGATGCTGGCCGCCTTCTTTTCCAGACCCTCTTCCTTGAAGATGACGACGACGACGACGATTCCTCCTCAGAGGAAAAGGAAGCAGATAGCTCCAGACTAAACCGTACGTCTGACTTCATTGGGGGAAGGGTGGGATAAAAAAGAAGTACCTGATCGATACTCAGCTGTAAGTCCTAAATAAAGCCTATAGTTTTATCTGGCAAACGCAGCTAGAGGCAGTGAGTCTTTTCCAACTTGTTCTTCCTGCTGGTGGTCTTGTGCTCATGCTGAAACTCCGTCATCTGTCTATTCTCTTGCCTCTTGAGGTAACTGGCAAGAGGGCTGCTTATTGCTCTCAGATTGCTTTGAGCAGTAGGGAAATGGGGATGTGGTCCTAGCCCCATGTAACCATCAGGTAAGTGAGGCAGAGCAGCAGGCAGGTATAAAACAGACAGGGCAGCAGGCAATTTCTCTGGCAGTATCCCTTCTTAACAACAAATTCATCCAGCTCTGGGAGACCAGTAGATGTGAGAGGCACAGGATTTGTTGTCTGGTGTCACCTGATTTGTAAGAACAGGAAGATTCCAGGTTCTCTTCTCTGACCAGCATCCCCAGTGGTGCATGAAAACAGGAGCCAGTGACTGACCCTAGGGACATGGGCATACTATGTGCTAAATGCTGCCCAAATTGCATCTCACTCCCATGTCCTTTACTGGTGCTTTTTCAGAAGCCATAGCTCCCTACTGGACATACCCTGAGAAGATGGAGAAGAAGCTTCATGCTGTTCCCGCTGCTAAGACAGTGAAATTTAAGTGTCCGTCCAGTGGGACTCCTACCCCTACATTGCGCTGGCTGAAGAATGGCAGGGAATTCAAACCTGATCATCGGATTGGTGGATACAAGGTAGGAGTTCCTGCCGTCTGGCTCCCCACCAGTTCCTTAACATTGTGTGTCCTGAAAACTGAGAAGCTGTGGCCATCCCTGTTCTAGCATAGCGGTTCCTAAATTATGTTATATCTAGGTTAACCATATTAGTCTATTTCTTTGCAGCCTGCAACATTTATGGCCGTCATAATGGACCATAAAAGTATTATATAAAAATTATCCATCATGTGGGAAGAGACTTGTAAATTTAAAAGGCAACTACTGTACTGGTCCACTATATGTGTTGTTGTTTTTTATTTCCCCCACAGCTACTTGTGCTGCTGAAGAGGCAAGCTGGTTTTTGGTTGATATGTCTTGGCTCTTTAGCACGTAGCAGAAATTACAAAGAAATGTCAGCTCTTCAGCATTTGTTGTCTTCCCAGTTACCCGTAAGGGTTATCATAAATGTAGTAAAGACAAGCATTAGAAATACACCTTTGTTAAGACACTATGTTTTAAAGGGCTGGGGGCATTGATCCCAAATAAAATACCCGTATTTGAAGTGTCCACTACTCAAGGAGTTTTTCTCCAGAATGGGAATCTTTAATTGGTAACTGAATGAAGGAGGGGGCATGTGTGTTTCTTTTTCAAGAAGGATTTTTTTCCAAAGGGGGGGGGGGGGGGGAAATGCCCTTCCAACAAGGAGTACTTAAATAATTAATTAAATTTTGCTCTGTGGGATGGTAGGATGGGGTAGGATCCGCTCTACCAACAAAGCACTTGAAGAGCAGGAAAGCAGACACCGTGAGAAGAAGGTAGAATACAGAGTGAGAGATTAGTATCTAATAGAATTGATTGATCATCTGCTTTTAATTAATTAAGAGCTTAATAATCAGCTGACAGCCCTAGCTTGTTTGTTTTTCTGGATTCTGTGCCACACCAGATGTGCTGTTAAAAGTGAGCTGGGGAGCTATGGCCTGGTAGGCAGAAGGTCCCAAGTTCAGTCCTCTGACATCTCTTGTTCAGGGTTTTCCAATAGCAGGGAAGGATCTGTGCCCAAGATCCTGGAAAGCCATTACCATTTGAAGTAAACGGTACAAACCAGTGGCTTGAGTCTGTATACAGCAGCTCCTTCTGTTCATTTCCTGTATCTGAGGGCCTACTGCCACATGCGACTTCAGCATCTCCAAACTTCTTTCACAACAAGCAGAGGAGTTTGGCTAGATGTGTGACAGTGCATAAGTCATTCTGGCACCTGTTACTGGCCGCTGCTGCCTTGTTTTGGATGCCTCATCCATTCGCCTCCAGTTAGAACAAGTTGTTTCCATTCTCTGTGACTTTTCAGCACAGCATGGCCTTTACACCTCCCACCACTGACGTGGCCTGGGCCCCTGCGTGTTAATAAAACTTGCTCCTGTAGCAGCAAGCCATTGACACAGACGAGCTATCCTGATCTAGCTCTTCCTTCTTCGTCTGGTCAAAAGAAGCTTTGCCTGGGGAATCAATAGTGGCTTTAATGAGACATGGATGAGGCTCATGAATCATAGACGGTCCCTGCTGTTTTCTCTTGGGCTGACCCAATTGAGCAGTGGCTCCTTATCACTTCCTGAAAGCGATGGCTCTTTCCAGCAAAAGACAAGCTGCAGCTCCTTTTGTTTTAATCTGGCTCTTACAGCTCCTCTTTTTATTATCTTAGCTGCCTTAGCTGGCCTGTAAACTGGTTCCCTTGGCTAACCTTGGTAGCAGCTGCAACAGAGATATGAATCAGCCCTTCAACTGTGGAAGACCTTTTTTTGAGCTGTGCCTAAGGAAAGCAGTATGTTCTCATCAGCAAGGGTGGTTCAGGACCCCAAGCCCTTAAGAGGGCAGAGTTGAAAGGCTTTGAGTAGCTGAGAATGAACTGGCGTAGCTACAGCTGTAATGCTCCAGCCTGAAAGTATAGGGCTTGTTTCTTTTAACAAATTCCCAGGCAGCTACCTGTAGAATTTGCTTCCCTGCCTTGAAGTTCTTAAAGAAACAGGCATCTTTTCCCCAGACGGAACAGTGGCTACCCATGAGATAACTGTACATGAATGAAGTCCAGAGATTGGCTGATGTTCCAGGAAGTCCAACTGAGACACTAGAAATCCAGCCACATTGCAACTCTGTTGATTTCGTTCCATTCTTGGGTGGAGTTCCCTAAGTCTGGTCCAGAAGGAAAAAAGCAGGGAGGAGAGAGAATTAGGGCAGAGGATGTTGCCACAACATAGACATAAAATATATGTATTTTATTTTAAGCAGCACCATTTCTGTTCCAATCAGGAAATGTTAAATGTTTTCCTTCAAGCTTGGAATTGTGTAGTAGATCACGCTGTTCCCCTTCATAAGTCTCCTTCCCCTCCCACTACACATATATGGAGAGATTTATACAGTAAGGAGAATTGAGTTTTGCTGGACTGTACCATCCTCGGTTGCTGGAGAATGGATCGGATTCCATATGTGATTACTTCCTCACACACACAAAAACCCCAAGCTTAAAACTTCTATTTCTTTCTTAGTTATTTTTAAAAGTTACAGGTGAGGTCATCTACACCAGATGCTGGATTGTGGAGTGATTGAGCTTGCAATGTGAAATTTGCACATCCCTGGTTACTCTTGGGCACCTTCTTTTGTGTGGAGGAGTAGCTGAAATACTTCCAAGACCGGTTCCTGTCCTGGAGAAAGGAACTCATCCCACTCGTCAATAATACCAGTTTCCAGATGTAGCTGGCTCTGTGGTCAACCTGGCAGCTGGCAGCAATTACTCCCCCTGTGTATAGCAAAAAGGGGAAACATGACCTCAAAAAGCAATTATGTGCAGTCTAGAACATGCAGCACAGGAGCCAGTGAGACCTTTGGCCTGCTCAGAGATGAAAAGGCATGTGTTTGATCAACTGCAGAAAGGGAGCAGGCTAGGAATGAAGCTGTCACACCCACACACACCCCAGCTGTCTATCAGCGGGTAATTTTCCTGAGCCAGTGACATCCTCTTCCCCACAGGTTCGTCACGCTACCTGGAGTATCATCATGGACTCGGTGGTGCCGTCAGATAAAGGAAACTACACCTGCATTGTGGAAAACAAATATGGGACCATTAACCATACCTACCAGCTTGATGTAGTTGGTAAGGAGACCTGGGAAGGGGAAGGGGGATGTTTGGGCAGTCCTTGGTGTAAAGTTGCAAGTGCATTTATTTTTCAAAAATGTGCAATGGGTAGAAGAAGGAAAATGTCAACTCTAGGCTTCTGGCATTGTAGCAGCTGGTACTGCTAGATTACTAACCATGCTTCTCTCGTTGCCTGCACCACTCCCACCCCAAACCACATACTAGTTAGATTAAAAGTTAACTCAGCTACTGTTAACTCTGCTGTAGACAATATTGTCCCACAACACTTTTGGAAAGGTTGAGGAGATTGTATTAGGGTTGGCAAGTTGGCATGACTCACAGGCGGGGGAGCGTCGCTTCTGTCCGGGAGCTGCCGAGGGACGCGCGTGACGTAGAGCACGTTGGAAGTGACGCACGACGTAGAGCACGTTGGGGGCGTGGTCCAGATCGTCGGGGGGGAACCATAGGTTTCCCCCCCCCGACGATCTGGGCCACGTCCCCAACATGAGCGATGTGGCTAGCTTCGGGGGGCAGAGTTCCCCCGAGGCCCAATTCCACCAGGGCGGAAATCGGGCCTCCAAAGCGGGGGTTTCCCCGCCCCCACTTGGCAGCCCTAGATTGTATGTGGGGTGAAGAGTAGACTGTTGAAACCCAAGTAAGGAATCTGAGCTCGAATAAGGAACCTGAGCTCTTTAAAGAGGAAGAAAGGATCATGACATGTCACTCCATAAATTGTAAGAGTAGTAAGGGACTCTGTGGGTGTGCACGTGTGCATGTAATATACTGTAGAGCTGCAAGAGTTAAGCAATATTGCTCACTTTGTGCTTTGTTTTGTGGTTTTGAGGATTGCAGAAAGGGAGTTGAGCTTATGAAGTTGCTTTGTGCCCAGTCTGTCTAGACGAAAATACCTTGTCTGACATCAGCTCTCCAAGATAATGGGAGGGGGAAGGAGGCCTTCCCCAGCTCTGCTATCTGAGATTGTTTTTAAAGCAGATATGTTTGTGATTCAACATGTGGCCTTCTGCATGAAGACCATGTGTTCCACTACTGAACTGCAGCCCTTCCCTTTGAAATTTGAGATTTATGAAAAATAGGGACATAAGAATTTCCTTTCTGGATCAGACAATCTAGGCGACAGAGAAAACTGGCTTTTAAAGGGGGTTGGACAGAATCATTGAGAATAGTTCTATCAGCTGTTAGTAAATGTAGTTAAGTGAAGCCTTCTAAGTATAGCAGTAGTATATGTCTCTGAACACCAGATGCTGGAGGCAGGTAATAGGGAAAACCATCACTTTCATAACCCTGATGGTGGCTTTGGAGAAGAGCCAAAATTCAGTGGTAGAACACCTGTTTTATATGTGGAAGGTATCAAGGTCAGTCTTTTGCATCTCCAGTTGAAGGACCTCATATATATATAGCAAGGGTGAGGAAAGCTCCTCCTCTGCCTGAAACTCTGCAGAGCCACTGCCAGAGGGGACAGTGCTGAGCTAGGTAGACCAGTGGCCTGACTCTGTATAAGTCAGCTTCATATGAGCTTCTAGGAGATACCTGACCATTTACAGAAAGAGAATTCTACATGAGGTCAGTCTTGTAGATATGTTCCCACCTGCCCTAGATGCCTAGTCCTTTTGTGACACCCTACCTGCTCAGAAATGTCTGGTGGCTTGGAGGTGGTTTTCACATATTTCAGATGTTCAGTGGCTCTTGGTTTGATCCTGCAAGGCCTCTCTCAGGTTCTCAGGCAGCTGTTTATTGCGGCCCCTTTCTTTGTTCCTTTGTAGGCAAGTGGATTGTACAACTAAGAGTTCCTTGTAAGTACTCAGATTTATGTTGCCGGTTATCAGGAAAGGGTTAGAGAAAGGGAGTGGATGAATTTCGCTTTTTGGCTGCCATTTCGTGTGAATTGTGATTATCCCAGGATGTACATCTTCTTACCAAGGCAGACCAGCTTCTTTTAACTGGGTGGGCCCCTTTGTTTCCCAGGCTGAGGTTTTAATTCATTTCTAGTGTTACGTTCATGATAATTTCATGGGCCAGGCAGAAACTGTCTCTCCCCTTCTCGCCACCCTCCCCAATGAATCTTTTTATTAGCCTTAATTCCTAACCAGGCAGGCTGATCTCTGCTTGTTCCACTTGTGGAGTTGTTCTAAATGCCACTAAATGAACCATTAAGAATGCAATTTAATTTGATTACACTGAGCAAACTGAAGGGAATTGTCTGCAAGGAGGAACAAAGGGGTTTGTTAGCGCTCACTCACTACAGTAGCTGGCTCTTTGTTAATCGGGTAGGCCCTCATTAGGTTTGTTTGACCTTTGACCTCCCGATGAATAGGTAGTCATGTTTACTACCTTCCCTGCACCCCCTGAATCCCAGCCCTTATTCAGTGACAAGAATTTCACCTGCCTGGTTTTCCTTTACTGCCATCAATGGGGTTTGTCTTGATGCTTTCAAGGGTGAGGAATTGGGTTGCCAGGTCCATCGGACCAGCTGGCAGGGGATAGGGGTGAATTTACCGAGAGCGGGGAGGGAAGAAGGTGGAAGTAAATGCATCAGGAGCAACACACTGATTTGTGGGCAAAACCTCTATTGTAGAATTCTACCATAGAGTTTTGTCCAAAAACCAGAGCATCCCCCCACACACACATCATGCCCATTTGTACAGTGGGGAACCCACAAGATCTTGCATGGGGGTACCTCATTTTCCTCTGTATTCCTATTTCCCCCTTCCAGGCAACCCCCATATTCTCACCTTGCCCTGTTTCCTTCTCTCCTTCCCACCCACCAACCAAACTACTTTTTTTTGCTCCCTCCATTTTCATCTATATTTATTATTTATTTAATTGTTTCATCTCTTAAAGGCTAAAATAGCCCTGGAAAGGGCTCTGCCCTTGCTCATAGCTTTTTATGATAGAAGCCAAGGTATGAAGGTTGATGATTACTGTTACAGTTGCCTATCCATGGCCACTGAGGGCATTTGTTTCTTAAAGCTACAGGTACTGCTGCTATTATTAGGTTTTGGGTTTTTTTTCAGGTTTTTCTGCAAGCCTGGGCCATCTTTCAGGTTTGTAGAAAGGTCTGTCCTCTCTACTCATGGTGGCTCCAGATTCTAGATATAAGCATCCACAAATTTGGCCATGTTGAGAATTAGATATAGACAGCAAAAGTTTAATTCTGGGTACAAGCTTCCATGTGCATGCGTGCATGCATCTGAATAAGTGTGCATGCACACGAAAGCGTGTACCCAGAATTATACCTTGTTGCTCTTCAAGGTGCCACTGGACTCAAACTTTATACACATAAATAGAAAGGGAGGATGAATGAGGTTCACCGAGGGACTGTTAAACAAAACATAAAAATCTCTGCCTGCCGGCAAAAGAGAGTAATGGGGGGGGGGGGCAAGTGAATCTTCATGGGGAGGGAGTTCTGTAATTCAGTGTCACAACTGGAAGACCCATTCTGAGGTTACCGCCCAACTATCCTCAGCGGGTGGAGGCACCTGAAGCCAGGCCTCCGAAGATGACCACAGTGGACATGTACAATTCATAAACTATAAACACTAGAAGCTTGGCCTGGTCAATGAAGAGTGCCTGGTCAATGGAGCAGTACCTTTTGCCTGTCACGCTTCAGGACCTTTTCCACCAGCAACTGTCACAGGAAACAGAGGAAACCCTCAGGTGGAGAACGCACGATGTAGACCTGGATCAGTGTGTGGCTGGACCCAGTCTTGTCCTGACAAGCCTTTGAGAACAAACCATGTTTCTGTCATTTTTCAAAGGGGAAACAGATCCTTCCATGACAGAAAACTGTATGTCGAGTAGAAGGCTAGGCTTAGACCTTCCCAACCTCTCATTTTCTGTTAGGAAGGAATTTCTATACCAAGCGTTGAAATTGTTAAACGATTACCCCACCACCAGCCTGGAGTGGGTACAGTCCAGGAGCGACTCTACCACCTCATCTGCAGTTCTGCGTGAACTTTTTGTGGTTCAGTATTTATTCCCCCCCCCCCAGCTGCCGCCTGTTTCCTTCTCTAGACCTCAATTCCATTCCAAGTGTCGGAGCTGCCTTTTAAGGGTATTGTAACTCAGCTGCTGAAGAAACAATGGAAATCCCAGGAGCATTTGGTAATCTATAGGGAGCAATGTGTACTCTATTCATTCCTATTGGCTGTGACTGACCTGGATTTTTTCTGGGTCAAATTGGAGTTAAAACTGCTCAGAACCTTCTGCAGTCTCCTTGTCAAACTGTCACCCGGGTCAGCTGAGCCCAGGTGGTTGTGGTTTCTTCAGAAGAAATGTGAAAAGGAAGGCGGGTTGTGTTGCATGCTCCAGATCCCTTAGTGCTGATTAACCATTTCTTGATGCCTTTTTAACCAGTCCATCATATATTTATAGGGTGGTAAAAAGGACTGGGGGGGGGTTTGCACCTCCCCCCCCCTTTTTGCATGCTTAGGGAGAAAGTGATTGCGAATAAGGAACTATAGAACGTTATGGCCAAGCTACACACAATGCTGGGATCCATGACTGGATCTCTCAACATGGTATTTTAGTGACAAGGAGCAAATGGAGGGTAGGATATGGAGCAGAACGTTGGAAGGGTTGGGGGTTACGGCAGCGTGATGTGGTAGTTTGAGTGTGTAGCCCCAGGTCTGAATCCTTACTCTGCCATGGAAGTTTGCTGGGCTACTTTGGGCCAGTCACACTCTCTCAGCCTAACCTTCCGGTTGCTGTTGTAAGGATAAAATGGAAGAGGAGAGAATGAAGCTGTAAAGCACTTTGGGTCCTATTGGGGAGAAAATCAGAGTACAAATAAATAAACTCTCCATTATTCTAGTGTGTGCACCGTTTCCCTGATTCCCCCTCCCCCCGACTGCTTTAAGCTTAGTGTGTGTGGAGCTTTTGTTTCCTACAAGAGCTTAAGAACATAAGAGAAGCCGTGTTGGATCAAGCCAGTGGCCCATCCAGTCCAACACTCTGTGTTACACAGTAGCCAAAACCCAGGTGCCATCAGGAGGTCCACCAGCGGGCATGGGATGAGGGGCCATTTTTATAAGGGTTAAGAGTATGAGAGAGAAGAGTTAATCCTCCCCCTGACACTTTGGCCCCAATTCATATCTCACACACAGCCCAGTGGCTCTTTTTTGGAGCTGAATTACACGTCAGGATATCTGGCAGGTTCATTCATGTGGAATACAAGGATGTGATTTTAGGTCTTTGGCCTCTTTCTAACTTCAGTGGCAGTCTCCACCTCAACCCCTCTAACTAGGCCTCTCCAGCAGCCGTGAGGGGCGACAGGAAACATGGCAAGGTCTGCTCCTGGCTGGCTCAGGAGAGCTGTGAAGCGCACTGCAGAAAGCTCACTCTCTAATTCAAGGAGAATTTTACTGAGAGTCAATGGGAGCTCTTGGCAGAGGAAGCAGCAGTCCTGTGATATTTACTTCAGGAAGTGGAATATGATTTTGGGTTACAGGGGGGCCACTCATCAAGAATCCTTAGCAAGAGGGATTAGAAGAGGAAGCATTCCCTTCGCATTTTTAATAAGCGACTGACTGGGATGGAAAAAAAAGTCTTGGCTCCAGCCTCTTGCAACGAAGAGAAAAAAATAACTTCTTAATCCCTGCTTTGTCACATCACAAGTGAAGACGTGAGGGTTGCGGACGGCTGTGGGGCTTTTGCTTCCGTGCCAGCTTGCCTCTTTGTCTCTGTGGAGTTGTGTTCAACTTCTGATCTGCACCTGACTAGTTATTAATGTTCACTTGAGTGCCTCTCAGCTCTCTGGACGGGGCAGGGGAGGAACCAAGTCGGTAAAATGTGTTTGGCCCTGTTGCTTGAGACCTGAATTTTGCCAGGATCTTGGATAAAATGCTGTGTTTGTCTAGCACATGTATACAGGCTTGTTGAGATTGCTTACTGCCCCTTTTGAGCTTGGCCCTACTGTGACCACATGTGCCACTGAGTTAATATTGGAGGCCCAAACTCACATCAGAGGAGCTGCTGCCATAGCTCCTTTCCCTGCCATCATCACCCCGCCTGGGAACTAGGAATATGCTGCCATGCCGGTGGGGTAAAGTCAGAGAACAATCTCATAGCTTCACAGGCTAATATGGTTCTCTTTGGCCAGCCTGGGCTTTTGGACTCCCTGATGTTGGATTAAACTGTGCACTTCTCACTCCACTCAGACAGAGTACTAATTAGAAGTCCAACATGCTGGCCCCTTCCCTCAGAATTGCTTACTGACTGGCTAGAAATGGGCAGGTGAAGCTGAAGGTTAGGGACAGAGCCTTCCCAGTTTTGGCACCCCATTATGGAATGCTATTCCTACAGCCATTTGTGGGACTCCCAATGAAAAGTACTGGGTTTGCCGCATGAAGGACTCGGACAACAACATGCGCTTGCACACGTTTATTGTATTTAACACAGAACTGCAAACCGGCCCTGCAAGGCCAACTATATACACACCCACCCAGCACACCCACAGTCCCATTGGAGGGTTTGAATTTCCCGCCAAAGTTTCTATAGGTTCATGCTGGGGAAACTAGGATCCTAGGTTCCTATTTTGTAGAGGAGCTAAGCTCTTGACTGTAGCCGTGGACCCCTGGTGGCGGTCCGCGCACATAACACCCAGTATCTTACTTTTCAGCAGTAGGTTAAAGCATGTTTGTGACTAACAACATGATGTCACTAATTTAAAAATGTACCTTTTGAATAGATATTTTGTTAGTTTTGCTGATGATTTTGCATTAGTCATTTTAATTCTACCCATTTTTTAACTGAGGTAGTTTTAAGAGGTGTTTTTACATATGATATTTCTGCTACCTGCTTTTATTGTGTATTCTGCTTTTAATTAATCTTATAGAGTACTTGTATATTTTAAAATGGGTTTGGAGTTGTTGTTTTTTTTAAAGGGCTTTCCTGGTTTTAAATTGTACAATTCTCTGTGTTGGTGTTTTATGATCTGTTTCAGAGTTCCCCAATGTGGAACTTCTGATCTGCACCAAGTGCTTTGAGATAGTGGGTGGGGCTTTTGCCCAGCAGAACGTCTGACTGGCTGGGTAAATTAAAAGGCATCATGTTAAACAGAGCTACTGCCTGAAAGGTTGAAGAGATGCTATTGGAGTCAGGGCTCTTTTTGTAGAAAAAGCCCAGCAGGAACTCATTAGCATAATAGGCCACACACCTGACAGCGGGGAGAAGAGAGAAGGAGGAAAGGAGGGAGAGAGGGAAAGAAAGAAAGAGAGAAGGAAAGAAGGACAGAAAGAGGAAAAGAGAAGGAAGGAAAGAGGGAAAGAAGGAGAAGGAAAGGAGAGAAAGAGGGAAAGAAAGAGAAGGAAAAATGGGAGGGAAAGAAAGAGAGAAGGAAAGGAGGGAAAAAAGAGAGAAGTAAAGAAGGAGAAGAGGGAAAGAAAGAGAAGGAAAAATGGGAGGGAAAGAAAGAGAGAAGGAAAGGAGGGAAGAAAGAGAGAAGGAAAGAAGGAGAGAGGGAAATAGAGAAGGAGGGAAAGAAAAGGAAAGAAAGAGAAGGAAAGGAGGGAAAAAAGAAAAGTAAAGAAGGAGGGAAAGAAAGAAGGCAAAGAGATGGGGGAGGGAGGCTCTCCCTCCCCCCATCAAGCCACTGCGCCCCCCCACTGCCCCCCACACTTACCGGGAGCAAGGAGGGTGGAGAAGGAGACGCCACAAACCCCAACGGGGCTCTTTCCCGCCTTGCGTTCTTTTTCTTACAAGACTCCAGCAAGTTCCCTTTAAGAGCAGGGAGCCAGGAGGCCTCGGACGCCTGCTCTCCATGTGGAGAGCCAGCATGCAGGGCCCTTTCCCACCGGCTCCCTGCACTTAGAGGGAGCTTGCACCCTTTAAGTGGAGGGAGCCTGAAGGTGCCAGATGCTTTCCCGCCGGTGTGGAGGGGAGGGGCCGGCCCAGACACCCGCCGGAACACCGTTCCAGTGCATTCCGGCTCAAAAATAGCCCTGATTTGAGTTATATATAACCTCGCTCCTTGACATTTTGTGGTTGCCTCCACCTCCTGTGGCAGACATTTTGTGATTGTGCCCATATCTTTGTGTCCGAATTCCAGAGGTGTCTGCAGATTCAAAAAGTTTGGAGACCCCTGATCTATTTTTATCCATCTTCATGATTTTGGGTTATATAAGCCCCTTCCTGAACAAAAAATGGTTGAAAGTGGTATAAATATTTAAACTAAATATATAAATTGTAATAAACATTAAAACATTAAATTGTAATTAACACTAGAAGCAGTTTGAAGGCAAGCAGCCTGTCTGACGCCATTCTCTCCTGTGTCTCTTTCAGAGAGGTCACCACACCGCCCTATCCTACAGGCAGGGCTCCCAGCTAACAAGACTGTCTCCCTGGGTAGCAATGTGGAATTTGTTTGCAAAGTCTACAGTGACCCTCAACCCCATATCCAGTGGCTGAAGCACATTGAGATCAATGGAAGTCGAATTGGGCCAAGTAGTTTGCCTTATGTGCAAGTTTTGAAGGTAAAAGGACTTGTCTTGGATGGTGCCCTTGTTGTTAAGATGGAACTCATTTTCTCCCATCTTGGGAAGGAAGCATATGATGTAAATGCAGGGGACAAGACCATTCTGTTTGGGTCAAGGCAGAAATCTCTTTCCAATTAAACTGATCTGCTTGATCAGCCAGACAAACCCCAATCACCTAAGTGTGCAATTTACAAGTCCCTCCCCATTACTACAATAGTGTGGGAAAGTGCATTAAAGGGTGGGCGGCTTCTGACCAATGCTCCCTCTAAGCTGTGGAGTCTTGTGAGCAAAAATTCTACTCTGTGAGCTACTGGCATTAAAGTTGTGAGCCAGCAATTTGGCTGCTGCATAAATTAGTCTGCTCTGGAGCCATCCTTCCTGAGCTAAGGCAAAAATGTTTGAGCACGAGGCTAAACAATTGTGAGCCAGCTCACACTAACTCAGCTTAGAGGGAACACTGCTCCTGACCTCTACAATTGTTACCAAAGTAATTTTGCACCAGGTGGCATGCATAATTTTTCACCCAGTAAGTCAACTCTGTCAGCAGCCTTTGATGCAAAATTGAGGATTGTCAAGTACTTGACCAGTGGCCATACAAAGCTGTTGGGATGCATGTGCAAGTCTGCAGCTCTCCCCACCCCCTGCTGAGGTGGAGATGTGGCCAGGAAGGAGCTGATGGCACAGAAATGACTCCTAAGCAGTGAGCAGAGCAAGTATGAATATGCTGGAACCGGGGGGGGGGGGATAAGTTCAGATTTTTTAAAAATCCGGGAGTGAGGAGCTTTAGTTGCCATTGTTGCCTCCATACAGTCACTCTATCATTTTTGTCAGTACAATAATCCGAGCACCGTAGGTCTGGATTTTGCATTGGGATGATTAAACCTGACCCTGAAGTGGACTGTGCTTTTAAAAACTACATGGCAGGTTCTAAAGCCAAATCTCTCACGGGGAGGACTAGATAGTAGCACTTTGGGTCAATTTATTACTGGAATAATTTACCTCTACAATAAATGGGAGGCAATCAAGAAAGAACTTGATTCAAGAATGGCAGCCTTTTATCAAGTGCTTAGAATGCCACCAAGATCTCTCCCTTATTATAAAAGAGTTTTGGGTGCCAGAATTCTAAAATTGGCCCCTTTAGTGTTAGGCCGAAAAAACTGCCACTCGGAAGACACTGGCTGGGTTCATTGGCTGCTTTGTGCAGTCCCGGCCAGCGTTCCAAGGTCATTTACATATGGAAGCTGATTGGACTACACTCCATTCCACACCTCAAACTCACCCCCCCCCCCAAGGCAGTTGGAATTTTCAGTTGGGAGAGGAGAATGATGTCAGCTGCTCCCTAGGCAGAGGCTGTGTGTGTGTGTGTG